GACAATATACAGCTTTTGTTTTTGATGTGTTAGAGTTTAAGCAGGTAATGCTTGTCCACGTGCTCAACCTCGCTAGTAGCTCAATGGCGTCCCTAATTAGGTTTTTATAATTCTTAGCAGTAAGGAGTAAGGTCGTATCATCAGCGTACATAAAACACTCTACAGACGTGTATATTTTTACAATATTATTTATGTATATACAGAAACGCACAGGCCCTAAATGCTACCTTGCGGTACACCCACTGAAATTTTTAGGAAGTTTGAGGCACACGACTACCTTCTGCTGCTGATACATTAGGTATGATCCAATGTTATGTAAGAAGATACCTTGAAAACAATAGTTTGTACATTTCTTTAGCAGCGCAGTATGATTTATTGTGTCAAACACCTGTTTGTCTACGAAGATGTGTAATGTGTGGAGTTTGCTTTCAAAAACAATTATTATGAATTCCCTTTGCTCTAAAAGAACATGTTCAGTCGTACGGCCGTTGATACAACCAAAATGTGAAGGAGTAGTAATGTGGTGTTTATCTAGGAGATAAACTATACGCTGTTGAATTAGCTTTTTCTAGTCTCTTTGAGGTTACTGGAAGGATAGATATCGGCTGGCACTTGTCAAGTGCATTTTCATCTCCTCCTTTGTAAAACACGACCACTTTTGCCACTTGCAACTTTTTTGGAAAAGACCTCTACAAAGATTCAGGTCACGGGCCAGATTCAAGATAAACGAAACGACGTCTTTTCAAGGAAAGTCCCACGAGGGTTCTGACCGCGGTCGAGGCAGCCGGCCAACGGTGAGCTGGATTGGTGATGTATCCACAGGAGCCCCTCCCGTCTGGGAGCTTGTCTGAGGCAGTTGCAGAAGGGTCCGCCCTAAGTCAAGAGCTGAATCATATTTTAAAACTGCTAGAGCAACTCATCCAAGAGAGCGTAAAACAGAGGGACAAAATTAAACAGCTAAACGAAGAGAACGCTAAGCTGAGGCAAAATCAGCTGTGCGAGTCAACTAGGTTCATAGCATCGTCTAGTTGAAGTTTTAACTCCTTTGTCTGCACAGGAGTCAGGAGCGCATGCAGCATAACAAAGAGGAGATTAAATATCTCCCGTAGAAAATGGAGACGTTTTAGAAACTCTTAAAAACTAAAGTAGAGAAAATGCCTGGATAACTAAGGCAATGCCACAACAATTCGCAGGTTTGCAGTTGCAGCTTGAAGAAATAAAAGAAAGAATAGATAACATGAAAAGTCGACTAACAGTGGTGGAGACCACGCAAACAGGTTTAAGGTCTTTATTAGCAGGACTGGTTGATACTACTAATAAATCGTAGAATCAGGCCAACTATGGCCGAAGTAATCAAAGTTGCAGGGAAACGGTGGTTCCTAAACATGGCAAGACGTGACCAGTATACAATTAGGCAGTGTAATTGTCGCGGGTATCGCCAAAACGGATTAACTTACAAAAATTGATCACCTAAAAAGGCGCCTGACGCTATCACCTTCGTGCGAAGAAGCCTGACGGTGATAGATCATGATACATAAATCTGGGATGTCGATTTGTTCTTGTTGAATTGTGTGCATTGCAGAACAGTCATGACAGTCTATTCATAACAAAAAGCTATAGCAGCCCCAGGCAAAAGACCAAATGTAGGTCGCTTTTCAGAAAAATGATCAGCATTACAAAAACCGAGCACTTGGTATAGCAAGAGATTTTATTGCGTCGCATGCGGCGTGCGATTATGTCACAGAAATTATCCAAGGTAGATAGAAATCTCTGGAATTGACACCCAACAGGGGGGCCTTAGCGATCCCTTTTGCTGACCGGAATAAAGACAGCGTATCTAAAGACACCTCTCCAGACCTCACAATTTCTAAAAACATTATCCAACCTTCTTTGCTGAACGCACAAGAAAATATGCACAGTGAGCACTATACAGCAGAGACCACGTTTAAAGTGGATGCACGTAAAAGAAGAGGCAAATATTTAAAGATATTTGAATGGACAATGTTTTACAAAACCTTCAGGCTTGAGAGTTTCGCAGAATGTTTTGAAATGACTTTTAGAGCTTGCCTGGAAACGCTAACCTCGCTTGCCTGAATTAATGGCAACGTTGCTTCCCTGTGGTGAAGTTGAGTTTTGCCTCGCGGAAGTGATAGAACTGATGTGCCACTGCAGCGTCTGCTTGTCTGCTAAAGATTGTGTGGGTTTGTTCGGCGCTTTCTTGGTTTAGCATGCGATTTTTTTTCGGTGTTGGTGGGTGTGCGATAGGTGATAAGCAGTGCTGCATTGTGAGCCATACACGATTCGCCATATATTCACCATAATAGCGTAAGTGCTTTAGCCGATTGCCGTGAACGGTGTGGGCAGAAAGTGTCTTTTAGTGGGCATTATGCGAATCGGGCAGGTTTCGGGCACCGTCGAGCAAATGATTGCATCAGACGGAGAAGCGCACTCAGTGGGGTATCGGTTTCGGTGTTGCAGTTTTTTGGCAATTAAAAATATTTTTGAAGTTTAGAGCATTTCCGCTAAGGGCCCGTGACAAGGTTTTCTCAGGAACATAAAAGACCCATTATGCTGACATGGTCAAAAATCGCAGGAGGTGGCAAACTAATAAATTATCAACTAAGACCGTACCAAAGACAGAAGAAAGAGAAATCACTGACATTAGGCTCTTACATATGTGGAAGGCATAAAAGAGGCTAAAAAACAGTGGAAAACGTAAAAGCACAACAAATGCCTTAAAAAAGATAGGCACCCTCAGTAAAGAGATTGAGTATTGTAAGAAGCAACTATGTAGAGCTATATGGGTGGAAAAATGTAATGCGACGGTAAAACAAATAAGCTTCTCCAAAACATGGAGCCTGGGTAGATGTATGATTGGCTCGGAAGCGAGCAAGGCAGCACAACGACAAATCTTTGCAAGACTTGCACATAAATAAATTGGTATGGACGAAGAACTGGGTGAAAAAGTCAGGCAGAGACACTCTGGGGACACAGCAAAAGAGCAACTAAGTTCCTACAAAGATGAAGGAAATTATTCTCTAGACTGACCAATATAAACACAGAGGTACCGAGGTACGTTCAGAACTCTTAAAACTGAACACAACATCTGCACTGGGCCCCGATGGGATCATGGATAAAACACTCAGGAAGACGACAAATTCATTAAAACGCTTACCAAATATATCAAGAAGTGTTCGGAAAAGTAAGATACCCAAATAATAAAGAAGGACAATAATTATATTGATTTCCAAACGAAGCAGCAAATTAGATCTTGATAACATGAGGATTATTTACCTGACATCCCGTATAGGAAAGTCATTAGAGCATGTGATCGTCACTGGCCTGACAAGCTACTATGGAAAACAAACAATAAGCTCTTTCCTCATGAAATGATAGGCTTCAGGGCAAACATGTACGCACAGAACAGCATGATTAAAATTGAAACATCAAATAAATGATTCGGGTTTCAACACACAAGAGGCAAAGGCATAGTTGCCTTACATCTTAAAAAAAAGCCTTCGTTCATACATCACATAAAACTATACTTGCTAATCTTCGCGCATCAAGGAAAAAGAGTATACAATTATGTAAAAACTACCAAATGAAGGAAATTCCAGGAATTCCACCGCCGCCTTTATGCAGATGACTTTACATTATGGATAGCAGAAGGCAGCGACGGATATATAGAGGAAACTTTTCAAACCTCAGTGAATATCGTAGAGGAATATGCAGCTCATAAAAAAATAAAATGCTTACTACAAAAATTGAGACTCCTTCTCTTCAACCCGACAAGTAGTAGTCGGAAAAGTATGCAGGAAAAGCCTATCAATAAAGTCGTTTTTTTTTGGAAAAAAACAAAACAAAAATTAGCTACGTTCGAATGCAAAGTAATTCAGGCACTCGCAATCAGTTTGAACCGGCTTAACAGACATGAGACTATATTAATGGAAGCCAGAGCACCTTATAATTTCTTAGGTTTTAGCACCACCCGAGAGAATCGGCTTTGCTTTCTACGCGGGCAGAAGTGCGCACTGTCAATTATTTTTAAGTTCATCCCAGGCGGAATGTCTCAACCTATCACATCTACTTCTCTACTGACCATCTCGATAGTCTCGTTTATGACCGTGATCTGCTCCTGACTTCCTCCTACTTCTAGTTTATTGTAGAACTTGGTGCTCTTCATGAGTTTGAGCTTACTGGCTTAGCTGCTTGTAGAGTGTTACGCACATCTATATTGACTAGTTTCTACAATAATCTCGAATGAGCGAATTGTGAGGTGACTCCAAGTAAAAAAACATATTCATGCTACCCTAAAATTTAGACTTTAGAACGCCCTGCAGAGACCCAGCTTGATATTGCTCTTGCTTGATACCGGAAAGATTTACGGATCATTGAGCTCCACAGCTCTGCGAAAAAGCAGGAGGAGGAAGGAATGAACGTTAACACAGTACTATATTTTAAACATGCATTCGCATTTATATTACCATTTGTCGCTTTCGGGGTTGGTATTTTCATCAGAAAATAGGTCTGTGTGCTCAGAAAAATTGGCAATATTGATTTATAGAGGTAAATAGATTAATTGATTGTACTACCTTTATGAAAGAACGGTATGACACAGCGTTAATACAACGCAAGCTAATACCAGCTGACGTTGTGACGCATGTATGCTCGCGTCTATATCAGCTGGGTCAAGAGATTGATGAGAAGTAACCCATTTACTGGGTCTAGATGTTTCGCGCAAATGTTTGTTCGTCTTTGGCCCATCAGCAGTTGATGTATGACAAGAGATCTACCGTATCAATCGAGCCTAACATCTAATATTCACTAACTTCTCGGCAACGCAGTATAAGTGTGCCACACAACAAAGGAACAAAAGCGTTTTTTTGCAGTGTCCTACGGCGTGGCTTGAAGAAACATACAAATAATGGTAATACTAACGCTATTACGTTATTGACTCATTGATTAACGTTCTTAGGTTTGAATTCACTGCTCGTACTTACAGTATGCCAGTAAAGGTAGGTGAAGTGCTGCAAGTAGGCCTATCACACAAAAGGCAGCCTTCATTCTTCCAGCGTGCCGCAGGTTTACTTGTTCTTGCACGTACGCTTTCTGGTAAGGGTCTTCGCTGTTAGAGCGGAGGTTGTTGATAAAGGCTGCAGTTATTGACGCAGTGCCGTCATTTGAGAAATTGCATGTCATTCACTGTCATGCTGGCAAATAGGTGTATGATGTCAGGCTTCCTAAATCATGTGTGTACGTAAGATATGCACAATAACCTATATTCAAATAAGCTCTCGAAAATCCAGCTCTTGACAAGTAGGAAACAGTCTGATAACTCATTCTAGATGTATGAGGTGCTTGCCGAAGGACAGAAAGTTGGAAGCATCTTGCGTACGGTTGCTTCAGCTAAAGAAACAAATGTGCGGTCATTTCACGCAAGCCACCTGCCATACCTCGACGCTGTACCAAAAGCATTATAGTCCTATGAAAAAAAGCGACAGCAAACAATAATTGAGACGAGTAATAAATGCTAGTTTGGATTTAGTATTGGACTCAGTGAGCATATTCTGAGTTGCAGAAAAAACGTATTTGTTGAGGGTTACATGTTTACGGAAGTCTTAATATGCCAAAGTGGGAGCAATTTTTTCGCATGACGTCAAAGAGTGTTTGGTATTTGCTGCAAGAAGGCAACAGAAACTTAGGTGAACCTTACGTTCATACCATCAAAAAACTACATGCGTTAGAATTTATAAAGTGACAGTGTTCAAAACTTCTTGTCGCATGAAATTTTGGTGTCACTGTCGATGTCGTTGGTTGTAAAAGTGAACTAGCTATGCTGCCCGAGGCTTGAAAATCGAGAATTATGCAAAGAAATTTGCTGGTAGAAGAAACCTTGGCTCAAGTCATGTTAAATATGGTTGCCTTCCCGTGGCCGCTTGTTATTGCATCTTCGACCGCTGAAAAACACTCATGATAAATAGGAAAATGAAGCAGAGCACACAATTACAGTAAAGTTTTGACTCATATGGGAAGAGCATATGCACAATGCATGTGAGATTCAAGAGGAAAAATGACCCCGCCTCCCCGAAGAGAACTGTGAGCGAATGCGAATGCCCTTGTTGCCCCAAGTGTACACGGCGTAGTAATTTTAAGGACGTAATTTATGACGAGGATTGGTATCTTATTTTTTTACACATTCATCAGCACCTACTTGTGTCGTGATTGTACCTATGGTCATAATATAAGCCTTGTGGTCGCTAAAATATACAGTGAAAGGGTCTTTGAGAAACATGGGCACGTCAAAATTTCGGGTGAAGGTGATATCAATGCAACTTCCTTGAGTGGAAGTCGGACACTTGTCAGACTCCGGCGGAGATACACTGCATAGAGTACTTTATCGGCATGTATTCCACAACCACTCGTGGCTCTTCTTGATCACGTGCACGTGGAAGTAAAGAACCTAGAGTAAAGGGTCACATATTTTGGAGCGCACACGCACACTTTCCATAGCCGCGTCCAGTTGCACGGCAACGGCGTCACAAGTTAAGTTCAGCCCTAGGTACAGTCACCACAACGACTCCATCTGCAGTGTAAGCAAGAATGTACAAGTCTTTGTACAGAGACGTGTCTCCAACGGGCGAGGTGTGGCAGCGTCATTTGATAGCTTCTCATACACGTTAGGAACGCTATTAACTATTAACGTCGCAATATTCACCATCCTTGCCACTGCCAGCAACTCATTGACAGCGTCGTCGGCACCATCGCCACACATGCCACTACTGACACTTAGGCGGACGCGGTGATGGAGCACAAAAAGCGATGACGGCCGTTGCTGTCGCAGTTCTTCGCTGAAGGGCAAGTAAGGTTTGAGAAACGCGTCCACACCTCCCACTCGGCGAGTGGCAACGGCGGGCACACATGCAGCAGTGTCGTACACTCGAACTACAGCGTCCTCAACTCAACTACGGGCAGCAGTGCCGTTATTTCAAGTTTCAGTGAGACACAGAGTGTCAACTTTGCCGAGCACAAGGAGTCTGGCAACGTCCAGCGCGTGGGTGGAGAAAGAAAGAACGTTTAGGAGCGCGAGCGTAAACTCTCTGGACCCGCCCTCGCATATTCGAGACAGTTCCTGTTCCTTCAAACGCGGCGAAGTATTGTTGCATGACGGTTTGCAGGCGGTGACATTCGAGCCAGCGAAACTGGTTCTCCATGGGCTTGTCTGGGTCGGCATCACGTGTTCTTTGCTTCTAAGCCTTGTATTCGACTTCTTCTCCATTGGTTGATGATGACGGTGAAGCTACTGCAGTGACGTCACCTCTAGCGAAAGGTGTAATGCTCGGGTTGGAGTGTGTTACACTTCTTGCTAGGGGTACCATTGCAGTCAGACGTTCATTTTCACCGACTTCTGCCATCACTTTGAGAGGCGTCCAGCCAGCGAAGAGTAGAGATTGAGGCACTCGCTTAACTCCATCGGACGGGAGAGTAGGGCGCCGGGAGGAGAGAGACTGAACGGTGAGAGAAGGAGCGGCGAAGTATTGCACCTTTCATTGATTAACAAAACTTTACTAGTGCCCTGAAGTCCGGTATTTTTAGGGCCGCGTCTACGTCGGCACCATCAGGCTGAGCCTTGTGGCGTAATCGTGGACCGTTTGGACTGCCCGCAGGTGATCTTCATAAGACGCGCTTTGCATCATCTTCTGCCAAATAAGATATTGTTATTTGGAGTTGACAACAGTGTACACGACGGCCATAATGTCAGTGTCTCATCAACACAAGCGCTACACAAACGCTGGAAGCACAAACGCTACAAATATGATTCAAACGCATTCCATTGAGGTGGTGACCAGTCACGTACAACTCAAGGACGTGGGGGCTCGGGTTGTTGGGGGCGAGGATAAGAGCGCACATCCACAGCTGTTGTTGACAGCTACCGACGCCGCAACGTGACATGGTGGGTGCTCCACGATCACAGCTGTTGCTATGGTCGAGGGCTGTGGACGGATCCCGACACACACTTGACATAGCCCGACTAAAAAACGCATTCGCATTTAAAACAACCTGAATGCAAAACATCTGCGCTTTGGCTTACACGGACTTTCAAAACGCACTATCTCAAAATACACAGGTATTCTTTATCCAGTAACGTGATACATGGTCCTCCCACGTAAGGCTATGCTGCCTCATTATCCAAGAAAGCTCCATCTTTTCGGTCTTTCAATGTTTCACTGCATCCTAAAATAACTTTACAGTCATGAAAAATACACGCACAGTTCACTCATGCCAGTGGCTTGTCTGGTGGCCACACAAATGCTCGCGCAAATGTTTGTGTACATATTCCCGTCATCTGAGTGATATATTTGGCCGTGGGTTGTATTGCGTGGTTCACACAAAACAAAAGCACGCAAGTTTCCAGAGGCGAGTTATGTTCATTCCCACATACGTAACGGTGCATATCTTGTCCAGATGAGCCCACGCTAGGTTGAGGCGCAAGCCTTCTATTTGTTTCACTTGGCTGTGTATTGCTGACCTGGCGGAAACTACGGTGTTAGGCCAGGCAACACACCAACGTGCGATCTCTCCTATGAACTTTTACTCGAATAGGCAAGGCGATTTAAAATGTTTCTCTAGGTCAAATATTTTTTCGCATTATCAAGTATTTAGCGGCCTAGCTTGACCTTGACAAAGGTGATTTGGTATCGATATGTGGGGTTTAACGTCCCAAAACCACGATATGATTATGAGAAACCCCATAGTAGAGGGCTTCGGAAATTTACACCATTTGGAGTTCTTTAACGTGCACTCAAATCTGAGCACACGGGCCTGCAGCATTTCCGCCTTCATCGGAAAAGCAGCCGCTGCAGCCAGGATTCGATCCCGCGGCCTGCGGGTCAGCAGCCGAGATCTTTAGCTACAATACTACAACAGCAGGGCAAGGTGATTTGGTAACCCACCCGCAAACTTTACAGGAACTTCTTCGTTGTTCTTCGGATAACGTCCTTGGAGAGATGCACCGGGTAAAAGAAAAGCCTAAGCGTAACACAGCAGCCCTTCCACGTGTGGTTAAGATATCTGGTTCTGTTGTCTCACGGACATACCTTTCGAAAGATTGTTGCCTCAGTTACGCTCAACCCGTCTGTGGCTGCTCACAGGCCACAATAGAGCATCTTGGGTGCTTTATGCCAAAGTTCATAAGCATGGCACATCGTCTGTTAATTTGCGCAGGTCTTCCAACTTAGCGCCCCCCAGACAGCAGCGCACTGGTGTTGCCGGTATCCCAACGCTGATTGCAGCGTGCATGGAACATGGATCAGTGCATTGTTTGGCTTCCCACAGGAGTCAATTTTTGTGCTTATTTGAATGACTTTTATTATATAGCGGAGGGCGAGATTTTGATATAAAAGAAATAAAGAATCTCTACGTTGAATACCAAATAGGGCAGTGACATTGACTGGTTACTGAAAGGTAATAAATTTATTAGCGAAAAACAAAGGGTTATTGAAATGCCTCTTATTAAATGGTATACTTTAAACAGATCGTATATTGAACAGCACGGTTTGAAGCAAGATGCCACAGAACTGACTAGTAGTCGCCTTCACCATCCGGACAGAGGTCTCGACTGTGCGGGGGAGCGATGACGCCGCATGTGTCGACAAACTGGTCTATGCAGTGCTGTGGCACATTGTCCTTCACTGCTCTCTGTGTCCACAAAATACATTCTGTAACACAATGAAAAATTAACGTTATTAAAAGATTATCTAATGCTAAAGTAAGCTGGGTGAGTTGGTAAGAGGGAATACATGGTAGACGAAGCACAAACACCTGTGATAACACAAAACAAAAGTAAGGACGTGAAAATGCTGTAGTGTGCTATTGCGTTTGCTGTACATAGGCGTCACTGTTTGGTGTCCCACTTAAAATAATTTGTTGTCCACGCAATAACCACGGCTAAGAATATGCCGTCATGCAAGTAGGAAGCTTTGCGCAGGGTTGTTCTACCGCGGCATCAGAAAGAAAACCACTGTCAATATCCGGCACTGACTGTCAAAGGTACAGTGCGATTTGTATAAACATATGCTTTATAGACAAGACAGTGTTTTATGCTGCAGTACATAATAAATTCAGCGACGCATTACCACCACGGAAATGACCTGGGAAAAATACGCATGAACAGGAGACAAAGAAAAGTCGAATTCGAGGCCATGACTCGCGGTTGCGCGCCAACAGAGGCCTGACACGCTACTCACTGCGTTACGGCTCTATTTTCAAATGCGAAGCATTTGTTAGCAAAGTTCGGCAACTTTGAGCGTATCGATCTATCTATCGAGCTGCCTATGACTTTTAGCTCAATAATGGTATCGATACCAAACTTGGCATGACATAACAAGAATATATGAAGAACATATTTGACTAGTCATGTCATGCAAATCATGACATATATGTCATGAATGTCATGAATTACATTTCATCGTCCTGTAGCCCTTGCGGTAGTTTCGTTTGCATGTCATGTTGCAAAACTGGTATGGTATGACATGAGTGCATGGCGAACACAGCAGAAAGACCCTAACATGAAAATCATGACATGCGTGTCATTTAGAGCGTCACATATACGAAATTTTTAATACGGTACCTGAATGGATAAAGGAGGTATGAGACTGGTGCAAATACGGTAATCATGACACGCGTGTCATGTAACAACGTGACTACATGCCAAAATTATGCACTCGTGGTCGTTTCGCTCAATTCACATATGCCAAATTTGGTATTACGTGACGCCAATAGATGACGAAGGTATGTGACTGGTGCAAACATAACAATCAAGAGATGCGTTTCTTGGGAGAACATGACTACATGCCACAGTCGAGGCGTCAATAGATTTTGACGTGACGTGGTGCGCGTGCTCGCCGGCATTCATTTCGTCGCGCCATACCGGCGTTGCCACGCCAGGCGCCAGTCCTGCCATATACTGACAGGCGCACGCCATGCTGCGTTGCTTTGGCGCATGCGCGTTTCAGCATGTCCGGCGTCCCTCCGTCACGTTTAAAGGGAGGCGCAGTGTCATCTGGGTAACGCATCGGCACGAAATGCAGCATGTGGCATTTCGCACCGGTCGCCGTCGGGCCGCGCTGACGGACGCTGGTCGCACCGGTAGCGCCTGGCATCAGACTATAGAGTGCTCGCGTTTTACTAACGTAGCGTCGCTGTGCCCAGCGTGCGCGCGCGTCAACGCTACATTGGGGAATATTGGGCCCTTCATGATGCGCTCGTTGGCGTTTCGCTAGCTTCAAATATACCAAATATGCTGTTACGTGATGTCTATGGATGACGAAATATATCACTGGTGCAAACATGATAATCCTGACTTAAATGTCATGTGAAAACATCACAGCATACCACTCTCATAGCGTGCTCGCGGGTGTTTCGCTAGCTCTAAATGTACTAAATATGGTATCACGTGACGTGAATAGATAAGGGTAAACGACAAATCGAAACTTGATAGTCATGACATGAAAGACACGTACGGCATTATTTACGTCCACCTAGTAATGGTGTGCTGATTTTAAAGTGGTATATCAACATTTCTAATTAGTGCTTCGCACATCATCATTCCGCACTGTATGTTGGATCTGCTAAATTTTTTTAACTGAGAATTTCATCTTTTTTACTTTGTTTTCAGCGTTTGTGTGGCATTGTTTGTGACCGACGGAAGGCTGTGGTAATGTTTGTCTGCAAAAAAAAGATAAGTGGCCTGTCTCATTAACCAGGCCTTTATTGTAGCGCCGACATGCACGTAATTCATCAATGAAAGATTTCTGCTGAACTCTTATTAAAAACTTTTACTGGTGCAAGAACATGTGCGTACACGGGGTAAACGCAGTTTAGCGCAAAGTGCCATGAGCCACTAAGCCTTCCTGAATAAACTTGTCGACTGTCCCACATTTCACAGTGAAGCGACTGAAAAAAAAAATCATACGCGTATAAGGTGCGAAACAATGCTGCTGAACAAATGGCACAGATATGCGTGATTTCTACGATCTTTCGTTCTCGCCCTTTTGTAGTATGCAGATGACTAAGATGTAAGTAAGTAGTTTAGTCACGCTACAGCAGTGCGTAGAAGGTGGAACACAAGCCACCCACGTACAAACAAAGCTGCAAAGGTGTCATTTAGTTCGAAAGCGTGAAGAAAGGCACCCAGGGGTGAGCATCCGTTTGAAAGGCAAAATGCGCTTTACTCGCGGGTAATGTTAGCGTTGCATAGGTGTCATGCACCGAGAAGAGCGTGAATAATAAAAGTAAACTGTAGTCAACGCATTTTTCCGCCGCCAATCGGCCCAAACCACACGCAGTGAAGCGGCGCCGGTCGCTTATCCACACTTGCGTGGAGACGGTGCTGCCACCTATAGCCAGATCTCACCGCGAATAGTGTCTTGAATATATTTCTAGGCACTACGATTTTACCCGAAGTGTCGGCATCGCTGATAGTATCCATCCATACCAAATAGCTCTGGCTTTCGTCTAGCTTTGACCCGCGTTCTCAATGAACGCTCGCCCACTGACCGCCATTCTATCAGTGCACTCGCCCTGCAAACAATCGTAGCCGGCCAAGAAAAGACACCTAGTGCTTCACGTTCTTCTCGTCGAGTAGTGGTGTTTAACTTCAACGTGCCGCGAGTAGGCGACCTTAGGCAAAATTTGGCTTTGAATCTGTCACGCTCATCTGGCTGTCACATAGCTTTCTCATAGCCTCCCAGACTTCCCTTGCCTGCCGGATGACCGCGAAACGCCGGTCATCTATGGCGGCGCAGCCTACGTAGGGATAAGGTCTTTGTACCTGGCCTTTGTGATCGGCAATTTTGGCGTTTGCTACTAATTTCAGGGGCTTTGCCTTGAAGAAGTTGACTGTTGAATGATGGCGTCACTTACGTAGTGTAATTATATTTACGTTTACATCTTCTTAAAATTTTTACGTCATTTTTGTTGCATATAAGTTCCAAAAACGTAAAAACTTATTTGAAAACACCCCTACTTAGGTGGCGACACCCCCATAGTTCCGATGACAGCCGCTTTAAAGGGACCGCCGATAATCCGACAGGCACGAGAAATCTAGGAGGCTATCGCTTTCTGGTGTTCCGCCCTCGCACAGGCACCTATGACCAAAAGGGTTTGTTTATTCATAATAGATTGATGTATATCCTCGGAATGGAGAGGTTTGACTAAACTGGCAATGCTGATGCATTCCACGTTAAGCAGTGCTATAGCGATCAAACAACAATATACATTATGCAAGCTCTTTAAATCAAGGTAGAGTAAACAATATAGTTCTTTTTAGGACACAATTTACTTTTTGCTTTTACCTATTCCTGTGATGGAGGAATCAACCATGTTCGTGTACCACAGTATCAGATGCTCTGCAAAAACACCTGATTATTTTTGGGACTGAGCAACCCACGAAATAATACACAAGACCATTCCACAAAGTTTGGCGTACGAGGAAACATGACGACGAACATTAAGGATATTCAAGAGTTATTGCAAAAAAACTAGGCGAAAATGTGTAGAGTTAAACAATCTGGGAAAATACACGAATAATGTATTCCATTTAAAATGTATCACAAACTGACAACGTTATAGCTGCAGGTGCCAAAGCATATGAGCCGGTGTCAATTAGAACACACACTGATTCAGCAGGCGCGCTGCTAACTTTTTGCCATCGCAAGGTCTTTCATCTACAATGATAATATGTCAGTGTGGATAAAAACAACACTGTAATACTTGCTGGCGTGAAAGTCGTGTGTTCGACCTTAGCCACACCTCGGCGGCATCTTGATGGAGCTGAAATTCTTGAGACCAATGTACTGGGTGATATCAGTGCACCTTGAAGAGCACTGTTTGTAACGAAATTTCAAAGCCCCCTAATATGGCGAGTTTCATATTATTATCAATGTGAAACCAGTACAAGGTTACGAAACGGACCTAAAAGAGGTCGTATATGACTTCCATGTCATATTTGTCATATATAGATGTGTCATTTATTTTCGTCCTTCATACACCTCACGTGTTACCAAACTTAGTAAATGTTGAGCAAGCGAAGGGGCCACGAGCACACTATGAGCGTTTCGGCGAGAACATACAATGGTAATTTTAACGCGTGAGCGGTACATCACGTAGTCATGTTGTCCATGACATGCATGTCATGATTATTATGGTTGGACGTGTCACTTACCTTCGTCAGTAATTCACGTAACGTAATACAAGGTTTGATAAATGTGGAGTTACTGAAACGGCCGCAAGTGCATCATGAGCAGAGTAATGTTGTCACGTTGTTACATGCCACGCATTTTATGATCACTATGTTTGCAGCACTCATATATCTTCGCCATCCATTGACGTAACATAACACCAAATATGGTATATGTGAAGCTAGCGAAATGACCAGGAGCGCACTAAGAGGGTAGCAGGTAGTCATGTTTTACATGACAAGTTCATCATGATTATCAAGTTTGGACGTGTCATTTACCTTCGTCGTCAATTCACGTCCCATGAAACTCAATTTTGTATATGTGGAGCTGGCGAAACGGCCCCGAACACGCTATCAGCGTAGCATTTAGCGATGTCTTACATTTCATTTATTTATTTATTTATTGAGCTGACACGTACATCATGATTATAATATTTGGACGTGTCATTTACGTTTGCTGTCTATTTACGTCACATATTG